TAGCTTTTAATATTGATTTGTTTGCAGAAACAGCAGATGACATAATGGTTACATCGCTGGACTCCTACATAGTTGACCACGGTTCGAGTCCCAGACTCAGGAGCTTAAAACTCATGCCAGGGGACCAGCAGATGGTGTAATGATTATGTTGCTGGACTCCCACATATTCAGTCGCAGTTTGAGTCCCAAATCCAGCAACTTGAAATGCTGAGCATGTGTGCATGCATGCCCAAGACCCCAAGAGGAGAATGGAGGAGACAGGATTGATATATGTGTATGTGTGTATAATTTTATATATAAAATAATAAAACTCATGCTGGGTGTGTGTGCATAGATGCCCAAGATCCTAAAAAGAGAATGGAGGGCAAGGGATTGCAGCATGGCCATCCTCCCTGGGGAGTGATTTCTTGCTTTCTGTCTCTCTGTCCCTCTGTCTCTTCAGCAAGCTCACACAGCCTATAGCAAAAATCTCTCTTAAAAAAAATTACTAGTTGTCTCTTGTATATGATGAGTTGTTTTTCTTTAAATGCCTTCAAAATTTTTTTAAGAGTTTTGCCACAGGGCGTGTACACTCGAGAAACAAAGAGAGACAGAGGGAAAGTGAGAAATCCTCCCCTCAAGGGAAATGGCCTTGCTGCAATCCCTTCTGTTCCTTTCTCCTCCTGGAATTTTGGGCATGCATGCACATGCACCTGGCTTGATTTTCAAGCCTCCAGGTCTTGGACTCAAACTCTGCAGTAAGCCATGTAGAAGTCCAGTGCCTTAATCTACCATGCCACCTGCTGGCCCCAAAGAATTTTTTCCTTTGTCGCTCTTGGCTCAGATGTGTCTACTTGTGAATTTCTCTCTGGTTATCCAACTTGGGATTTGTCGATCTTGTTATATGTGTAAATTAATGTTTTTCATCAAATTTGGGAAGTTTCACCATTATTTAAGAGATTTTTTTTTTGTTATAGGGCACATACACTCACCAGAGAGACAGAGACAGAGGCAGAAAGCAAGGAATTACCCTCCAGTGGGGCTGGCCATGCCACAGTCCCTTGTTCTCCATTTTCCTCTCAGGATTTTGGACACACACATACACACACCCAGTTTGAGTTTTAAGCTGCTGGGTCCAGAACTGGAACCATGGTAGACTATGTGGGAGTCAGTCCAGTGACATAATCATTATGCCATCTGCCGGTCCCCACCATTATTTTTTTGAACATTTTTTCTCCCCTTTCACTAGCTTCTCTCCTCTGTTGCTCCCATTGCTTATATGCTGACTCATTTATAGTGTCCCAGATTTTCTAAGACTTTATTCTCTTTTCTTTTTTTCTGTTTTTCATACTAGATATTCTCAACTATCTTCAAGATTGCTGAGTATTTCTTTTGCCTCCTCCAGTCTATTGTTGACCTCCTGTAGGTCAAGAATTTTACACTTCCATTATTCTCCAGAATTTACATTTGGTTCTTTTTTATAATTTCTACCCTTATTGATTTGTTTGGTGAAATGTGATCATACCTTCCTTTAGTTCTTTAAAAAATGTGATTTCCTTTAGTTGACTGAGCATGTTTATTACAGCTGTTGGGAGTTTTTACTAACTCCAACAGCTGGACCCCTTCAAAGTCTGTTTATATTCCTTGCTGTTTTTCTCTGTTTATGGATTTGCTTTTACTTTTTTTTTCATAATTCATATCTTTTTTGTTGAAAATTGGATGTTAGATAATGTGCTATAGCACCTCCAGCTACTAACTCCCACCCCTCCCTACCACCAGGATTTGTTGTTTGTTTGTTTAGTGACCACGCTAGACTTATTCATTGAAATATGTTTCTCCCACTGTGTGCATTCAATATTACTCCTGGGACCAGCAGTTAGCATAATGGCTATGTCGCTGGACTCCCATGTAGTTGACCACAGTTCGAGTCCCAGTCCCTGTGGCTTGAACTCACACCGGGCACATGTGCATGCGTGCCCAACATCCTGAGAGGAGAATGGAGGAGAAGGGATTGTGGCATGGCCATTCCTCCTGGGGGGTGATTTCTCGCTTTCTGTCTGTCTCTCTTTGTCTTTCTGGCAAGCGCATGTGCCCTATAGCAAAAAGCTCTAAAAAAAAAATTGATAATGTTACTCCTTAGAGGGAATAATCGCCTTGGGAGTGAGTACAGCACTGTCTTTGAGTATCTTTTTTCCTAATTTTCCTCTAAACTTCGGGCTGTTCTGCCACTGTTGGAATCTCACTCAGCTGCTAGCCTGTATTAATTGTAGGCAAATTGCTCTATTCTTTTTTTTTTATTTTTAGTTCCCAGACATAAATTTCTCCAGTCTGATTTTATTAAATTTGGACTCCATGGGTATGGACAGTTTTAGAGGCTTTCCCTGGCCTTAGGAGGATGCTTAGCTCTTCTGGTTTCCTTTGCTAAATTTCTAGCATGTTTTAATGAAATTACCAGCCTCATCTGACTTGCTTATCTCCATTGTTTTGACAACACTCTTAGGCTTGGACTTCCCCATACTGTGTTCCAAATAATTTATCCCCTTAGGCAAAGCTCTCTGTTCATAAGGGCTGCCTCTCTCCCTCAGAAAAAATTCTCTGAGCCACTGCTCTGGAGCTATGAGCAGGGGACAATGAAGTACTTTTGCAGTGATATCCTTGCTTTACCATTAGGGTACTGAATAATTTTTTCTTGACTTCACTTTTGCAGCATAGAAACTCCGCTCAGTAAGTTAAGGCAGGGGCAATCAGGGCCCAACATTCTTGGCCTGTCATTTAAAGTAGTTTCTGCCCATGAGTGGGAGCAGTGTGGAGAAAGAGAGCCTCAGCCCTAGCAGCTATACCTTCCAGGAACAGATCTGCAACACAGAGCTAGGAGTGGAGCAAGATGAATAAAGGCTGTTGACCTGCTTCTCCTAAAGAGTACACAGTCGTTGACTAGGACCTGAGGGAGAGAACAGGTCATGGCTCAAATCCATAAACTGTCAGTTTTTACAGAGAATTAGTTGATTATTTTTTATAAATGTTTCTCCATTTTCTATATGCTCTTAAAAAATATACAATTTCCAGAAAGTTTAAATGATTGTTGCTTGTTTTTATAATTTTTACCAGTTTTCGTGGTTTTGTTGGGGAGAGGATCTGAAGAACTCTTTATGCTCCAATTCTGAAAGTGTCTTGCTCTCATTCATCTTTAGTTCCCTCAAAAATTTTTTTCTTCTCTAATAATACCCTTTAAGGGTTTGCAGACTGTAGCCCTTGAGTCAAGTCTGGCCTGATAGCAAAAAGCTCTAAAAAAAAAATTGATAATGTTACTCCTTAGAGGGAATAATCGCCTTGGGAGTGAGTACAGCACTGTCTTTGAGTATCTTTTTTCCTAATTTTCCTCTAAACTTCGGGCTGTTCTGCCACTGTTGGAATCTCACTCAGCTGCTAGCCTGTATTAATTGTAGGCAAATTGCTCTATTCTTTTTTTTTTATTTTTAGTTCCCAGACATAAATTTCTCCAGTCTGATTTTATTAAATTTGGACTCCATGGGTATGGACAGTTTTAGAGGCTTTCCCTGGCCTTAGGAGGATGCTTAGCTCTTCTGGTTTCCTTTGCTAAATTTCTAGCATGTTTTAATGAAATTACCAGCCTCATCTGACTTGCTTATCTCCATTGTTTTGACAACACTCTTAGGCTTGGACTTCCCCATACTGTGTTCCAAATAATTTATCCCCTTAGGCAAAGCTCTCTGTTCATAAGGGCTGCCTCTCTCCCTCAGAAAAAATTCTCTGAGCCACTGCTCTGGAGCTATGAGCAGGGGACAATGAAGTACTTTTGCAGTGATATCCTTGCTTTACCATTAGGGTACTGAATAATTTTTTCTTGACTTCACTTTTGCAGCATAGAAACTCCGCTCAGTAAGTTAAGGCAGGGGCAATCAGGGCCCAACATTCTTGGCCTGTCATTTAAAGTAGTTTCTGCCCATGAGTGGGAGCAGTGTGGAGAAAGAGAGCCTCAGCCCTAGCAGCTATACCTTCCAGGAACAGATCTGCAACACAGAGCTAGGAGTGGAGCAAGATGAATAAAGGCTGTTGACCTGCTTCTCCTAAAGAGTACACAGTCGTTGACTAGGACCTGAGGGAGAGAACAGGTCATGGCTCAAATCCATAAACTGTCAGTTTTTACAGAGAATTAGTTGATTATTTTTTATAAATGTTTCTCCATTTTCTATATGCTCTTAAGAAATATACAATTTCCAGAAAGTTTAAATGATTGTTGCTTGTTTTTATAATTTTTACCAGTTTTCGTGGTTTTGTTGGGGAGAGGATCTGAAGAACTCTTTATGCTCCAATTCTGAAAGTGTCTTGCTCTCATTCATCTTTAGTTCCCTCAAAAATTTTTTTCTTCTCTAATAATACCCTTTAAGGGTTTGCAGACTGTAGCCCTTGAGTCAAGTCTGGCCTGATGCCGCTTTTATTTTTTTTTTTTCCTAATTTTGACAGAGGACGCATACACTCACTAGAGAGAAAAAGTGAGAAAGCACTTAACCGTGGTTATGCTGCAACCCCTTCTCCATTTCTTGCTCCTTTCAGAATTTTGGGCATGCACATGTACACAGTGTTTTTTCTCAAACTACTAGATCAGAGACTTGAACCATGTGGGATCCAGCTGCCTCAACCACCTCGCCATTGGCTGGCAAGATGCTTATTTTGCTACATAAAGCTTAATTGGAACATGGCCATACCCTTTTATTTACAGATTGTCTGACAGAGCTGAATAATTGAAACAGAGATTTTATGGTGCATAAAGCTAAAATATTTAGTATCTGGCCCTTTGTAGAAAAAAAAAAACTGCCAACCCCTAGTTTAATTGATAAGCTTTACTAAAATCTTTTACTACTTAAAGACATAAGTACTTATATAGTAAATATGAACTGTAAAGCATACCAACTGTAATTAAAATCAAATTTTTATTAAAGCAAAGACAAAAATAGATTTGTAATATAAAACAATCTTTTCTTTTCTTCCAATATTTTCAGATCTGGTAGCTCAGCGGGGAGAAAGATTAGAATTATTGATAGACAAAACAGAAAATCTCGTGGATTCGGTAAGTATGAGCCATCATAATATTTTTCAGGACATAAAGTATATAAACTGTGGATGATATCTAACAATAGAGAAATGCCTTAGATTCAATATTTGGTGGATTTTTTTCTTTTCTCAATTATGTCATTGCATTGTGATCATGAGGATATTATTAAGGCATAGAACTAAGCCATGGTCTTTTTTTTGAGTTTTTTTTTTGAGTTTTTTTTTTATTTCATTTTTTTTCTTTATT